TTCTCCATTTTAAATATATTTTTATGTATATATATAATCAGGAATGGCAGATCTGCCTTATTTTAGAAACCTGCTCCAGCACACATGTTCCACTTACATCACCATTACCCCAACAAGTTTTCCAGTTTCTCTCCAAGTAAAAACATGTTTTAGAGGAAAACTGTGCTGCCACCTGAGGAATCAGTTCCAAGCTCCCAGTAGAGCCTCAGCTACTTACCTCATTGTATCCAGTGTGATCACTCTGGAGAGTCTTAGTTTTGAAATGTTATGTTGCTAACATGGTGACATCAAGGGGGACCAGACAATTTTATGAGGATGCTTTTACTCATCTTTGTCAGCAGTGTCTGAGATGGGACAGCTCAGGGCTGTTCCAGCTGCTTTGGTGCTGTGAGACCCTGGGGCTTTGCCAGAGCAGGGACAAAAGGAGACACACTGGTCCCAGGAGAGGCCAAGGGGCCACTCTACAGCTCCCTCTGCACAGAGCTACCTGAGAAGCCACCTGGATGCTGCAGGGCTGTGTGGGATCAGAGTTCACACCCTGGGGCTCCCTGGGGAGCACTGGATTGATTGCATTTGACTGTGTCCAGCAGTGCCCTTGGAGCTGTGTCCCCTGAAGGAGAAGTATGTTTTTGCCTCAATAGCACTGCCTCCTGTGCACCCAAATTCACATTCAAGGAGGCAGGTCCCATCTCCCCACTGAGCATTCCAACAAGGCACACTGCAGCTGCCACAACAACACACACCTCCCCAGAAACTATTTACCTGGAAGACAGAAGTACCTCTGTGGTGCCAGTGCAGTGCATGAAGACATCAGCAAGGACGGAGGGGAAGAAAATCATCTCACTAGGAAACAGGTTTGAAGCAAAAGCTGCAAGGTCTCCCCACCCAGGACAGGGCTGTGATATGCATCAAGCCCTCATCTATCCTTCAGCTGATTCAGTCATCCCAAAGCAGCCAGGGCCAAACCCTCCTCCACTGCTGCTGGCAGGGATGCTGCAGAGGTGTGGGGCACTGACTGCCTGTGTTCTCTGGGGCCCAGGCAAAGGGCAGGGTGAGCACACAGCCTTCCCCAGGGACCCCAAAAACAGTCAGGGTTAATAAACTTTTCCAGTCACCCACTTCCCCCCAACACAGCTCTGTAATACAGAGCAGATTGGAATAAAATCAGTTCCTTCCACATAAAACCCCATGTCCCCGGGGAGTTACTTGCTACTCAAGTGCTGGAAAGACAGTGGAGCCTCCACCTGCTGTTTGCTGTTTATTTTAGCAGAGAAAAATAACATGGACAAGAGGCATTTCGCATAACTTAACAGAAAAAACACTTTTCCTCCACTCTTCACAGATCAACAGGCAAAATCATTTCCTACACACAGCTATTTTTTGGTGCTAACAGTTTGGCATATTGGTAAAAATCATGGGCTTCTTCTAACATGCTGCAATAGCTGATCTGAAACCCAAAGCCAGACTCAGGTTTGGGAGGCTCCTTTGCTGTTGAATGTAGCTCCCGTTGCCATTGAGCACTGGGTTCATCCCCATGGCACTTCCAGAAGGGTTTTTGCAGTCAGGGACTGGCTGGGAATGCCAAGCAGCTCCATGGCTCTCACAACACATGCCATGTCCTGACTGCTCTCCCCTGGCACGGCTGGAGAGGTGACCCAAAATGAGGAGGGGTGTGGGCAGAGCCAGCAGCTTCAGTCCAGGGCCAGCGAGGGGATCTTGCAGACGAAGGGGAAGGCTCTGCCACAGGCGTTGTCATTCCAGGATCGAAGTGCTACCCCCCGCGAAAAAACAAGGCATTAGCTGAAAAAGCCACAAGGAGGTAACCAGGCACTGCCCTCAGGACCAGGACCTCCTGCCATTGTGCTTTCCCTAGAGGGGCTCCCATTTGTGCTGCTCCCAGCTGTGCCCTCTCCCAGCATCTCCCTCCCCATCTTGGACATGGTAGTGGGGGGGCAGCTGCAAACACAGCCCTGTACCCCCAAAAATATCAACAGGCTGCCCATGGACAGGGCATTTAGGTGCATCCAAGGGGACTGGACACACCTAGCTGGTCTCACTGGCGGTGAGGGTGTGAAGTGGGACTTTTCCAGGACTTTCAGCCCTGGCCCGAGCATGGGAGGGAAAAGCTGGCAAACCATTGGGTGTTTCCACAGACCTCCCACGTGTGGAGGAAATGGGAAAATCTGACCTTTGGCTAAATTTGGTAATTCTTCAAGGTGGCTGATGCTCCTGTCCTGCTGCTGCTGCTATGGGAGAGGGAGATGGGCTGCGAGCAGGAGGAGAACAAGTGTGTGTGTATGAATGTACATGGTGAAAGGGAAAACACACCCTTTCTCCGTAAAGAAAAAAGCAACTAATACAAAAAAAAAAATTAAAATGCAAATCCTCTGCCTGCCAGCAACCTCTTCAGAAAAGCAGAAGCAGTGGTGGATTGAATCTATTGACATGCAAATAGCACTGAAGGTGCCCTCAGAGCCTAGCACGGCACTCACCACTGCTGTGTCTGTACCAGATCTGCACACAGTCCTCCTCCTCGGGGATGGAGTGGATCCCATCGTCAGGCTGGCTGCCGTCCCAGTAGTGGTAGTCGTAGGAGGAGCCATCTGTCCACTCGAAGTGACCCTCCTGACGTGGGGCAGAGGGGAAAGAAAGGCTGTCATCACAGAACTGTGACTGCAGAGGGTGGTGATCCCACTCCTATGTGCATCCCATCCCCAGTGCCACACAGCCCAGGGACACAGGGAGCCACTGTCATCACACAGCAAAGGCCAAACAGCTAGTTTGGGTTTTATAACTGAAAACTTGCCATGAACACCCCCAGAATTCACAGTGTTCTCACCAGGGGAAGCCCAGAAATTAAATCCATATATTTTTTGACACGCACCCAATTCTGTGTTCCTTTTGCTCATCCTTTTCCATTCCTCCCCCAATGTCTACAACAAATTTGCTGACATGGGAGTGTTCTCCTGATGGTCTCGATTTTTCTTTCTAACTTATTAGACTATATATTTCCAACATGTCAGCTTTGAAAAGTCACAGAGTATCACAACAGAGTGATGGAACTTGGTGATTTTTGACACTGGAGACCTTTTCAGTTTATTTGCTCTTCTTGGACCAGCAGTACAATACTCTGTTAATCCAGTAATACAATGTGATATGAATTAATATTAATTATTAATCTATTCATTCTAGTACACTATTTAAGAGAAGACTGGAAGGGATGAACTGACAACTTTCTCCATGTGCTACACAACAGACCCTATGACACCACCTGATTAATGGGGCTATAAGGGGCAAAGAAGAAAACCAAGTGGCTTTCCAGGGGGAAAAACACAGAAAAGGGAATTTTTCAAAGCCATTTCCCACACGATTATAGGGAGGTCTCACCTGCCGCAGGTCGTTGAGTCCTGTCCAGATGTCGGTGGGGATTCCTGGCACGCGGCTGTTCACCAGGTCATACACAAAGACATTTTCTTCCCAGCTGGCAAAACAGAGCCACACAGAGCAGCTGAGCAGTGAGCAAATGGTCAGGTGTGTCTCTAAGCATCTGCCCCATCGCTGGACCCATGGCCAAATGGGTCCTCCTCTTCTAATTGCTATTGATTACTTTCCTGGGTTGGTGCAAGAGGAGCTGAGTGTTGGTGAGAGCTGGGAAAAATCCTGTGTAATCATGTTGTATTTCTATCCCTTTTTCAAGGCTAAAAAACAGTTTGGGGAAATTTAGAGAATACTATGCCCGTTTTCCTGCCAGTCTAGGCAAAGGCTTTTTCTACATCACCTTAGTGTGCCCAGTGAATCACACTTGACCATGTCACTGCTGCAGAGGGTTGAAGAGACTGGAGCAGAGGAATGCTCAGGCTGGAACATGAGCCTTCAGCTGACAGAGATTGTGCTGTGGCAATGGGACTTTGTCCCCATTTTCCTTCCTCCCCAGGCCATGCCAGGGTTGGACGACATGTTGCCACTCACCTGTGGATGGAGGCCAGCTTGGCTGATCTGATGCCAATGGAGAACTCGGCACAGTAGAGATCAGCTTCAGCCCAGGTTTTGTTGATGGGGAAGTAGCGGTAGCAGTGGCCTTCGTACTCTGTCCAGAAGAGTGGGCAGGAGTAGGCGTGGACAGGCTCAGGCATGGCTGGGGGCAGAGCAGAGGACATCCAGCCACTGGTTGTGAGACAGCATGTTTGGGCAGCAGAGCAGGCAGTGGAGTCAGCAGTGCCCAGCCTTACTCCCCCATCTCACCCAGGCAAATAACCACCAAACACACACATGGAAAAACTAACTGCTGCAGGAGCTGTGCAAAAGTTGGCAAAAATCAAAACACATCTTGCACAAGTTGTGGGTTTCTTGGGTTTAGCACCTGCCTAAATCAGGAGGGACATTCAAAGCCAGTTTGACATCATTTTAGGGAGAGTGTGCTTAAAATAAAGGCACTGACATTTGCTCCTGAGTAAACCAAGATAAGGGCTCCTCTTGCCTCTATGAGGGACTACTGGAGCGACTGTGCTGGGATGGGAGCTGACAGCCAGGGCTGCAGGGTTATGGCCATGTTCTGTCCTCCTGCAAGGACAGCCTGCACCTCCTCCCTCCAAGCAAACCCCCTCACCATTCCCTGTCCCTGGATGCAGCCGTGCACACAGGCACGTGCTGGATTTCAGCCCCATAAATAGCCAGGCTCGGCACGCGTGGCGCCGGGAGCGGTGCCAGCCTATCTGCCTCCCAACGCCAGATAAGAGCTGGGGCCACGGAGCTGCTCCTCCTCCCTCAGCACTTTACAGCACAGTGGGGAGGTTGCCCCAAAAGAGGCCACTCTGGGGGCAGGATGTATTTCTGGAGCCCTTGCTGTTGCCAATGCAGTGGCATTAGCACGTTGGTCCAACCTGCTCTGGGTAATGCTCCCCATCCCATGCAGACAGGATGCTGCACACACACCCCACCCTGCCCAGCATGAACACACATGGAACCCACAAATCTTGGGACACAGACTCTCTTAGCTAATGGTTTTGGAGCCTTGGGAAATTGCCAGCTCCCCCTGAGCCACTTCCCACATCCCCATGGAGTCCTGATCTGGCATCAGTGCTGCTGTTGGAGCAAGTGGGGCGGTGGGCAGGGTGGAGGTACAGGGGGTGATAGCAAATGTCAGATGCCATCAGACTATCCAAGCAGGTAACAGGCTCAAGCCTGGAGAGGTCAGGATGGTGCTACAGGGCCTCTGGGACTGAGGGGCTGGGGGAATGCTATGCTGAGGGTGGGAGAGCAAAGCCCTGAGAGTGGCAGCAAGGAACAGAGCAGCAGTGAAGGAATCATCAGCATGGGGAAGAGGGGAGGTGAGGTGAATCCATAGCAGCTGTATGAGTGTTCATGGAGACAAATCCTTCCCTGTGCCAGTGCTGGCAGCTCCAGGTGATAATTTCATATTTCATCAGCTCTTTCCACATGGGGATCTCTGAGTGTTCTACAAACAGCTGCCAGTCAGCCCTGCAGTCACACCCCCCTCCCAGGTGACAAACTACAAATGCAAAGAGCCTTTTTTAACTCCCGAGCAAGGCAAGGAGCCAAGCTGACTGCTAAGCCCTGCAGGGCTGTCTCCCCATCACCCCACCTCGGTACCCCCAGCCACCCCTCTGGGGCAGCCAAGGCTGGGGGCAGCTCTGCACCCCACAGCAACAAATCTGCCAAGAATAGTGAAGGGCTCAAGGGCCTCTCCCACCCCCATCAGCACTAGTTATGGGCTACAGAGGAAACATGGTAAGGCATGCCAGGCTGGAAGTGAGAAGAACAGATTTAGGGGAGGGTGGCCAAGTTGCAGCCAGTTCAGTGGCCATGCATGGTTCAGCTCTCTGGTTCACACCCAGCCATACTTGCATTGGGAAAAACCTTAGAACAGCCCTAGGAAACGCAAATTATCTTACTGTAGCAATAGAGCAGGACCAGGAACTCTGAGAGCTGATGTGATTGCCTGGGAAACAAGCACTCCTCCCCTGATGCTGGCAAGGGTTCCCTGTCTCCACCAAAAGCAAAGCTGAGCAAGGGCAGTGGGTCAAACATTTAGGATGAGGCTTCAGCTTCACCACCAGGTCATGGGTGAGGCATGAACCCCCATTCCAGACAGGGCTGGGATCTGGTCCTGGCTCATGGCAACTCCAGGTTGCTATTCCCTCCTGCTGAGGACAGCCCAGAGGTCTGCGCCAGGCAGGCACCACCAGCTCCCCGGCAACTCAGACTTTATTATAGAGACCATGAAGCACCTCAACAAACTCCTCACCTCTAGCAGCATGGTGACAAAATTCACAGGGTTTAACCCAGCAGCATCCCCAGCAAACGGAGCCTTTGCTCCTGAGTGTTAATTGCAGTGGGCGTCCCAGTGTCCTGGCTCAAAGCCGGGTCTGTCGCACCCCGACTGCCAGGGAAAATCACCCTGGGTTTGTTCAGAGCAGCTGAAACTGAGTCAGAGATTGAGACAGTCCTTCTTTGTTATTCCATACTGCTTCCCATTAGGTAGCATTAATTTGACGAGCTTCAGTGAACCAGAGGTGCCTGAAGGAATTTAAGGTTAAATATACCGAAAAGGAAAATATGGGAGGTCAGCATTTAATTAGCATCTTTTCTGTTAGGTCAGGATCAGAGGCTTTGGCTGTCTCTCTGGAGTAGAACTACTGCTCCCAGTTTAATAGGCAGGAACAATTGGGGGAGCTGCTTTATTTGAGGGCTTCGAGGGCTATTTTTAGCAGAAAAGACCATAAGAAATCCAATATATGTTTGTGAGTATAGGAGCCTAACTCACAGCTCTGCAAAAAAGCCTCATAGTCCAAGCCAGCAGCTGCAGGTAGTATTTTTATCTAAAAGGGATCAAGGGAAGAGGCATTTTGAGGCCATTTAGACCAGATCCTCACTTCTAAGCACACCAGCAAAACATCACCCCCAGCAGCACCAGCTCCCCCAAGCAGGGCAGGAGCAGCACAGCCACTGCCTACAGGATGGAGGTTC